AGTTGTTTCAGCCTGAAGAAGGCTCCAGGGAGGCTTTTCATTGCCTGAAGGGGGGCCTGCAGGAAAGCTGGAGCATGACATTTACTAGGGGATGTAGTGTTGGGACAAGGGATAATGGATTAAAACTTAAAGAGGGGAGATTTAGATTAGACATTGGGAGGAAATTCTTCACTATGAGGGTGGTAAAACACTGTATTATGTTGTCCAGGGAGGTTGTGGAAGCTCTGCCCCTGGAAGTGTTCAAGGACAGGATGGATGGGGCCTTGAGCAGCCTGGTCTTGTGGGAGATGTCCCTGCCCATGCGGTAGGTTTGGATCTAGGTGATCTTTAAGGTCCCTTCCAACCCAAGCCTTTCTATGAGTCAAGGGTCCTTCTTCCAGCCCTTAGGATGGGTGAAGCCTTGGCTTTCTCAGGTCAGCTGCTGAAGACTGCTGACACATGGAGACCGGGGCGTTCCACTGGGGATTCTGCAGGGCCATTGCTCTGCGGTTCTATGTGTGGATGTTACGGTTTTATTTTCTTTTTGTAAAAACCCCACAAAATAAAACAAATCCAGTATAATACCCTGACACAATGTTTTACCTATATAGAGAGGTGTCTTTCTGTTCAAAATGTTGCTCTATAAATCTTAAAAACACCAAAACAAAGTCAGGCTTCTGGCTGGGAGAAGACACTTCTTATTACTTTGTAAAAGTAAATAGCAAAATGAAAGGGAATGAAATGAGACCTTTGAAAAAGCTGTTTTCTCCCTTCTCCCTTTTCCTCCCTGCCTCCTCCTCTCCTTCCTCTTCTGCCTCTGTCTCCCCCTCTGCAACTGCCCATTTGGGTACGGTAATTCCAGAGAGTAAACTTTAACGGGAATGCCTGAAATGTGTCTGCTTCAGCTTTGTGTTATGTCTGTAATTTGAATTATTTGCATTTTGGAAAGGTATAAATTGCTCTGGTGTACTTTGGTTGGCTGGTGGCCAGGAGGGAGTTGCCTGGGCCCTGGACCAGGCAGGCTGCTGCAGATGTGGCAGGCGTACAATGGAAACTTTTGTGGTGGCTCAGTCCTCGCTCCCCGGTGCGCGCTGGCGGGAGGTGGCATCCCGCCTGCTCACCAGGGTCCCCCCCACTACGGACAGTGGGGGCAAAACCCTTTTCTCCAGTGCGGGTGGATTGTCTTGATGCTTCAGGCTCCCACAAACTGTTCTGGAGCCATTATCCCTTTCTTTCTCTCCTTTTTTTTTTTTTTTTTTTTTTTTTTGGGGACAGCCATGAAGATGATCAGGGGGACTGGAGTGCTTCTCTTCTGAAAACAGGCTGAAAGAGATGCAGTTGTTTCAGCCTGAAGAAGGCTCCAGGGAGGCTTTTCATTGCCTGAAGGGGGGCCTGCAGGAAAGCTGGAGCATGACATTTACTAGGGGATGTAGTGTTGGGACAAGGGATAATGGATTAAAACTTAAAGAGGGGAGATTTAGATTAGACATTGGGAGGAAATTCTTCACTATGAGGGTGGTAAAACACTGTATTATGTTGTCCAGGGAGGTTGTGGAAGCTCTGCCCCTGGAAGTGTTCAAGGACAGGATGGATGGGGCCTTGAGCAGCCTGGTCTTGTGGGAGATGTCCCTGCCCATGCGGTAGGTTTGGATCTAGGTGATCTTTAAGGTCCCTTCCAACCCAAGCCTTTCTATGAGTCAAGGGTCCTTCTTCCAGCCCTTAGGATGGGTGAAGCCTTGGCTTTCTCAGGTCAGCTGCTGAAGACTGCTGACACATGGAGACCGGGGCGTTCCACTGGGGATTCTGCAGGGCCATTGCTCTGCGGTTCTATGTGTGGATGTTACGGTTTTATTTTCTTTTTGTAAAAACCCCACAAAATAAAACAAATCCAGTATAATACCCTGACACAATGTTTTACCTATATAGAGAGGTGTCTTTCTGTTCAAAATGTTGCTCTATAAATCTTAAAAACACCAAAACAAAGTCAGGCTTCTGGCTGGGAGAAGACACTTCTTATTACTTTGTAAAAGTAAATAGCAAAATGAAAGGGAATGAAATGAGACCTTTGAAAAAGCTGTTTTCTCCCTTCTCCCTTTTCCTCCCTGCCTCCTCCTCTCCTTCCTCTTCTGCCTCTGTCTCCCCCTCTGCAACTGCCCATTTGGGTACGGTAATTCCAGAGAGTAAACTTTAACGGGAATGCCTGAAATGTGTCTGCTTCAGCTTTGTGTTATGTCTGTAATTTGAATTATTTGCATTTTGGAAAGGTATAAATTGCTCTGGTGTACTTTGGTTGGCTGGTGGCCAGGAGGGAGTTGCCTGGGCCCTGGACCAGGCAGGCTGCTGCAGATGTGGCAGGCGTACAATGGAAACTTTTGTGGTGGCTCAGTCCTCGCTCCCCGGTGCGCGCTGGCGGGAGGTGGCATCCCGCCTGCTCACCAGGGTCCCCCCCACTACGGACAGTGGGGGCAAAACCCTTTTCTCCAGTGCGGGTGGATTGTCTTGATGCTTCAGGCTCCCACAAACTGTTCTGGAGCCATTATCCCTTTCTTTCTCTCCTTTTTTTTTTTTTTTTTTTTTTTTTTTAATTTCAGCTGAGCTGAATAAACCTGCAAAACATGTTTACTGTAAAAGGTTGACGTAGTGGTCTAAGGTTTCCCTCCTGGAGCTCGTCCCAGTCCATGGGCGTTGAGATTTCCCTCTTGGTTCACCAGACGTAATGTGAGGAATTGTCTTTTTTTGTGTCTTTTTTTTTTTTGTCTCTGCTTCATAACAACTTTTACTCCCTGTTTTTTTGTTAAATGAAATGTCACTAGTTGTTAATGAGTTGTCTGTTCCCTACTTCTTCCCACTCTTCCCCTTCTCCTCCGTTGCTGAGTTGCCATGGTCTGGACAGTCTGAAGGGAATTTCTTGGAACGAACCCCGTACTGTTCTTATTAGCTTCCAAAGACGAGCCATGGTTCTGGATTTTTATTTTCCTAATAGTTCGGATTACAGCATTGAAAATATTTCTGAACAAACTCTCTTCGTCATCATAAAAATTTCAAAAGCGTATAAAAGCAGTGCTGCATGAAGCAATTGAAAGATTAGGTAGACATGGAATAATACTGTATTTTACTGAAGTATCAGCACGAAATAAAAACCAGAAATCTGAATCAGAGAATTCATCTTCAGAACAGAAATTAAGCATAGCAAAAAACCTGAACTTCTGGTAATCCATTTACAAAGGCAAACTGATCACCTTAACTACCAGTCCGGATGTCTGTAGATTTAAAAAAACGAAAGACAGACAAACCCTTTACAAAGCAGAAGATCCTAGACTTTGCAAAATGAGTGACAGTGTTGGTATTGTGTTGCTTTTACAACTGATTCCTTTAATTGAGAGGGAAGGTGGGGGGAAGGGAGGGCTACAGGGGCTTTCCAGAGAGGAGGCAGGAGATAAAGGAGACTGCTTCCAGACGAGGGATGAGTCCTGACTTACTGAATTTCGGTCAGGTTTTTTCTACCGACAGCTTGGGGGAAGCATCTGTTGGATAAATTGTGAAGTGACTGCCAGCCCTCCTGAGAAGTCTGCTTCAATTCTGGCGCTCTCAAAAGGCATCGTTAAGGAGACTCGAGCATGGTCTGGCTACTCCTTCTCTCCCAGCAGCTGAATGTGGCAGTACCAATTAAAGGGATTTCTTTTCCAGCATCACAGTTTAAAATGCAGGAAGAGACTAAGGGTAGATCTGCTAATTGTATCCTACAAAGACCTGCCAAATCCACTGTACTATTTGTGCCGTAGCTTTCACATTGCACTTCTTTCCATACGTTAAAAAGAAAGGGATTTGGGACGTTAAAACAATAGCCAGGGCTAGTCCCTCAGCAGCATTCCTTTCACAGTAGGATAGCTGTACACAAAAATATTATTTACAGACATCTGCAATAAATCAGGCTGTTCTAAATGCGTCACCTCCATCCTGGCCATGAAGGAAAAGAGAGATGAAAGAGTGCATTCACTCTTTTACCTTGCCGAGAGCTGTTTTTCTAAGGCAGGCCCACATCTATGTGATGAAGTTCAAAATAGCTAATATTTGCATTTGCATAACCCAATGCTGCAATAAATACACAAAAAGATGAACATAAAGTATCATTTTCCCTTTCATTCTGGTGACATCTGACAACGGTGGGACTCATGAAGCTGCATGTGTCACTGCTGGCCAGCTTAGACAGCAGTCTACTTGTGGCCTTTCATACACATTTTTGTTTTTCTTAGCCTACAGAATGGAAACCTTACATTTTCTAATATTTTTCTAATTTCTTTGCCATTGAGTTTTGAAGCTGCAAGGAAGAAAGAAACCCTGCTATTGACCAGTGACTTCTGTATCAGTGAAGTGCAGAAAAAAAATGACCAGACAAAACCAATTTCTTCCAAAAGACAAGTGATAGCTGTGGCTTAAATCTATGTTTTCTTGAAAACAGAAATACAATAAATTAGGACGACCCAACACACTACTGGAAGCAGCGCCAAAAAATTGTGGAGTCAAAAACTGTTTTCCAGCCCATGGCCTTGCCTTTTAATCCAATCAGCAGATTTATGACATGTCAGACTAGAAGTATATGAAAATGAAATACTCCATGGCTGAGGAGCTTCCATAAAACTGCTTGGTTTGTTGTGTTTAATACTTATGTTGAATATGACCTACTGCATTAGTAGAGATCAAAAGGTCTCATAGGTAACAGTTGGTGAAGCTAAGGTATAGAACAGTTGCATATTTTGTCCAAACTAGTGGCAGAATGAACTCCTGGTGGCTTTTCCCCATTGCAGTATCATGTGTTCTGGATTGTTGTTCCCCCCTTCAGAAGAGCTAAGTGGACTCCCATTGCAAGTGACCCGTATGCTTGGCCAATGCATTTTGAGAGCTGCATTTCATATGTGCAGTGCCCTTTCAAAGAGATTTTTTTGCAAAACCCATTCTTTTGTAAGCTTGGGAGAGGGGGGGGGAAAGGATGGAACTAGATATCTTTTTCTTTTCTCTTTTAGATGGTCACCATGTGTGGGAAATGGAAGCCAAAACTGACAAAGAAATGTGCAAGCCAGTAAGTCTGCCTTAAATATTTTAACATCAAGATGAAAAATATATATTGCCTTCTCCAGCACTGTTACTAAAGAGGGATTTCCAAAGTTTTGGCACTGTGCCTCCCCACTGAAACAGAACAAGTACTTAAGCCTCCCCTCCTGGAAATCTTTAATGGGAGCATGGGGTAAAAAGCCTTCATTGGAAGCTGTCCCAAAAATAGGAGAGACCATTTGGAAAATATTTTTTCATTGTCCAGGATGGGCCAGCCTCATCTGCTCATCTTCTGTCTTACTGGGTCAGTTCTTCCCTCTGCTCCCAAGACAATTCTGAGAGTTTTCCTTGGCTTTTGTCTACCATCTGCGGAAGAAATACGAGTGCCCTCACAGGAGATCAGCCCCATGGTTGGAGAAGTGAGCCTCCCTTGGCCAGGTCTGTCAGTGGGGAATATGGCCACTGTTCCACCTCTGCAGGAATATACAACAGTTTGTTAGCTGCAAACCTGCAGGCAAACAATTTAAAGACCTCCACTGAATGCGTGCCAAATGGTGCAATGAGTGTTCCATTTTATTCTTTCAAAAAATGCCAAAGGAGATTTTGATGGTCATAGCAGATTTCACTGTGCATTTGTGTAAGCTGATGCCCTAGAAGTTGTTCCTCAGCCCTGTGCTGGAGCATCTGGTTTCTGACAGTGGAAGATCATCTACACACTTTCTAGCCCTTCTGCCTGCAGCAGTAGGTGTTCTTGTAAGATCTCCCATCCACAAAAACTAGTATACTTAAAACTCACTGAGTTGAGACACAAAAAATAATTTCACAGTGGAAAATGGAAATAATTGAATAATTGTATGCCTGTCCTAATTTTCCTTTTAAAGGAAGTTGTGTTAGGATGAGATATGCTGGGCATGACCTGCCAGCTGAGCGGTTGCACTTTCTTCTGCTGAGTTAGAGACTATGATTTGATTGTGGTCCCAGGTTCTTGTCAGAGATAGGAGGAATAGAGCCTTGTCCACATGTGGTATTTTATTTGCTGTCCAAAGGAGAAAGGTGAAGGCTACTGATTTTTTAAAGACCTGAGCCATGCTAAGGTCTTACTTCCCTAATTCTGGAGTTGTTGGACAGGGGACAGTGGGGGCAGCAGGAGGCCATCCTTGCCCTTGAAGTCAAACAGTTCCCCTGCAGAGTGTGTTCCTTGTGAGCCTGGGAACCTCCTTCTCAGGATTAACATGGGTATACTATTGTACAGCTTGAGTGCCTTAGTCCTGCCTTAACTTTCTGATTTGTTGCTTTTGCAGAATTCGTTGGTGGTTGAGATACCGCCGTTCCGCAATCAGAGAATTACCAGCCCTGTTCAGGTCAATTTCTATGTCTGCAATGGAAAGAGGAAAAGAAGCCAGTACCAGCTTTTCACCTACCTTCCTGCTAATGGTAACAAAATATATTCCTTATCTCTACCAGTAAATATGAGAGAGAATGATTACTTAGAAAGATATATGGCTCTGATAATTCTTTAGTAACCTGAGTAATTTGGAGATGTACCCAGTGCTGTAAAAGAAGAGTGAGATTCACATGTATTGCCACAGATTGTGAACACCCTGAGCTCTCTGCTGTCAACCCTGAGTCTTGACTGTGGTCCCATAGGGTATATTGCATTGAATAATACTTCTGAATTTTCAGCACAGCATTGTAAGCCTGCTAGTCTCTAAGCTGGAGGTGGTGTGCTGATTCTCCTTCCAGTCATCCCACACCTTGCTGTCTTGTGCAGGGTGAAAATAGACTCCAGGCTGATGCTGCTCTTGGGTAGCAATGAAAAGCACAAGGTCAATGCACAAGTTCAAACTCAACTTCTTGCAAGCTCAAGACTGGTGCATCCCTACGAGGAAGACATCAAACTGAGGATGTAGGAGACCTGCATGGATGATAAGGGTCTTCTGGAAAAAAAATGAAGGGAAGAAGAAAGTTTACAGAATATGGAAAATAGGACTGGCCACTTGGGATCACTGGGGGCACAGTCAGAGAATGCAGGGGTGCAATGAGGAAAGCTAAGGGCCACCTGGAATTAAATCTGGTGAGGGGTACCAAGGACAAGAAGAAAGATTTCTTCCAGTACATCATTTAAAAAAGGAAGACTAGGAGAAATGTCAGCCTGCTGATGAATGAGGCAGGTGCCCTAGTGGCAGATAACACAGAGAAGGTGGAGTTACTGAAAGCCTTCTTTGCTTCAGTCTTCACTGGTAAAGCTGTCCCTCTTGAATCCCAGATGCTGGAGGTTAGAGATAAGGTCTGGAAAGAGGAAGACTTTCCCTTGTTAGGAAGGACCAGGTTAGAGTCCACTTAGCCAAAGTGGACATCCATAAATCCATGGGCCCTGATGAGATGCATCCACGAGTTCTGAGAGAGCTGGCAGATGCTATTGCTCCATCATCTTTGAGAGGTCATGGAGAACAGGAGAGGTGCCTGAGCACTGGAGGAAGGTCAGTGTCACTCCAGTCTTCAAAAAGAGCAAGAAGGAGGACCCAGGGAACTACAAGCCAATTAGTCTCACCTCCATCCCCAGTAAAGTTTTGGAACAAATCATTCTGGACATCATCTCAAAACATGTGGAAACAAAGAAAGTCATTGGGAGAGGTCAGCATGGAGAAATCATGCTTGACCAATCTGATTGCCTTCTATGATGTCGTAACTGGTTGGCTGGATGAGGGTGGAGCAGCACATGTCATCTACCTTGACTTCAGGAAGTCTTTTGGCACTGTCTCTCATAACATCCTCATTAGGAAACGGAGGAAGTGTGGGCTAGATGAGTGGACAGTGAGGAGGATTGAGAGCTGGCTGTGTGACAGAACTCAGAGGGTTGTGGTTAATGGAGAGGGGTCGAGTTGGAGGCCTGTAGCCAGTGGTGTCCCCCACGGGTCAACACTCAGTCTGGTCTTGTGCAGCATATTCATCACTGACCTGTAGGAAAGGATGGAGTGTACCCTCAGCAAGTTCCCTGATGATGCCAAACTGGGAGGGGTGACTGACACTCCAGAGGGCTGTGCTGCCATCCAGTGTGACCTGGACAGAGAGGAATTTAAAGAGGTCTGAAAAGGGCAAGTGTAGGGTACTGCACCTGGGGAGGAAGAACCCTACACACCAATATAGGTTAGGGGTAGACTTGCTAGAAAGCAGTTCAGAGGAGAAGGATCTGGGAGTCCTGGTAGATAATCAATTACCCATGAGACAGCAATGTGTGCCCCTGCTGCCAAGAAGGCCAATGGAATCCTGGGGTACATAAGGAAGAGTGAGGACAGTAGGTTGAGAGAGGTCATTCTGCCCCTCTACTCTGCCCTGGTGAGGCCACATCTGGAATAGTGTGTCCAGTTCTGGGCTCCCCAGTTCGAGAGAGACAGGGAACTACTCGAGAGAGTCCCTCAGACATCACAAAGATGACTGGGGGATTGGAGCATCTCTCTGATGAGGAAAGGCTGAGGGAGCTGGGACTCATTTGCCTGGAGCAGAGAAGGCTGAGGGGAGACCTTAATAATGCCTACAAGTATCTAAAGGGTGGGTGCAAGGAGGATGGAGCCAGACTCTTTGGTAGTTCTCAGTGACAGGACACGGGACAATGGGCACAAGTTGGAACATAAGAAGTTCCATTGAAAAATGAGGAAAAACTCCTTTATGGTGAGGGTGACATGGCACTGGACCAGACTGGCCAGGGAGGTTGTGGAGTCTCTGGACATACTCAAGACCCACCTGAATGCAGTCCTGAGTAATGTGCTCTAGGGGATCCTGCTTTAGCAGGGGAGTTGGACTGGATGATCTCTAGAGGTCCCCTCAACTCTGGCAAATCTGTGATTCTGTGATGGAGACCAGAGTGCTCCATACAAAATGTTTCATGTGTAGGAAATGTTTAGAAACGTGTGTTCTGGTTTATTTTGAAAGCTTATATTGGTGACTGTGAAGTGACAATAAAATACTCATGCAATCTGAATTCAAAACAGGCTTGTATGATGATTTTAGTAGCAAGTAAATTAAGATTATCTTATTTTTTTTTTAAATGGCTCTTTGTATGAGAACATTTTGGAAGGAAAATAGGGGAAAAAAGAGTGGTTGTTGTTTTGAAAGGAAGAGGAGATAGAAAAATTATTAAGTTCAATTTTTTTTTTTTGTAGACTGTGAAAATAATCCTCCTGAGGGAAATTCCCACAAAACAATACTTGAGTCATGACACATGCATTGAAGAGAACTGCCAACTTTTTGCAGGTGAAATCCCATAAAATAACACATTTGGAATTTCACCTAGATAGCTTACATGCACTCCAGACTTTTATCACTACTTTAATTTAAAATTAAAGTACAGGAAACCTTACATGGGCAACTGACCACTTATTGCATATGTGCTGTGTAGCTATGCTTCACTGAATCAGCCTACTTATGCAAACTTCATCCCCAGTGGGTATGTCTGTGTATATTTAAAGACTGTTAATCTCTTAAATTGAAAGGAAAAAGAGCTGTTATTCTCTTGTACACCACTTTTCAGCAATCAAAATCTGTTGTGGAAGTCAGAAAATATTATCTTGCTACCCAAGTTACCCTCATCATTTCGAATACGTGCCTGCTGTTAATTACTCTTTATTTAGCAGCATCTTTCCACTCCAGCCTTTACATAGGCCATTTCTAAACCATGGGAATACTGTACAGAGCTGCAAAGTTGGTGTATGCTATCACCATTTGGAGTTTGAAACATTTGATGATTCATTTGATGTGAAGTGATGGGAATAGCCACCTTGTGACAGTCAACAGAGAACCAGCCTAGGCTTTATTCTGCAAAGACATCTTTAATTATGGTAATTGTTGAAAACATTGGGAATCTTCTTTACTCTGTTGTGCTGATTTAAATCCCTGTGAAATCTTTCAGTTTCAGTGCAGGAAAACTTGAAAGAAAAAATATGGCACCAGAGTGGAGAAAAAAGGAAAGCAGATATTGAACACTAAATATGTATTCCCCCCGTTCCTGTTTCATTCTCCACTCTTGTTCTCTTAATATATTTGTACATGTGCATATAGGTAGTTTAAAAACATCTTAGATTCTTTGCAGACTCTCTCATAACAGCGTTAAGAGTTCATGTACTTCATCAACATCAGAATTAACAGTATAGTGTGTTTTTATGATGTCTGTGTTGTAGCTGTAAGGTTTTGTCCTTATGTTACTGGTGGTGGTTTACATCATACTTTTCAAAGATAGACGTGATCACCTTGACTGTGTATCCAGAAGCCATAAAGAATGACTGAATCAGTCAGTCATTTAGGCCTCAATATGTATTCCTAGGAGTCATTTTACAATGTTCTGCTTTATTTTGTTTCAGTCACAACATTCTTTTAATGTTTGAAGACATTGTAGAAAACCAAAGTTTAGTTCATGAAGAAAAAAATAGTTAACAACCACTGCGTGATCAGAGTAAAAAAGCAAACAGAGGAGGTTAGCACAGTTTTGGTCCAGGTAACACTTTGTCTCTTGTTTAGACAAATTCCACGAACATAGGAGGTGTAGGTTTTAGACAAGCAAATGTCAGAGTGATCATCAAGTGTAAGATGTGGCTTTACAAAAATCAGATGGTGTCCTTTAAGCTTCTTCTCCTTCTGTGCTTTAGGACTAGTCAAAATGCTAACATTTCCATGTTTACCATAATTCTGCAGGTATTTCTGCATGAGGGATCTTTGAAAAGCTGCATGATGCACATTAGACGCATTTTACAGTTCAGCTGCCAAAGCAAAATACGGACTAGAGCCCACTGGCCGTGCTCCTGGGATAGGTGTGGGTGTGTGCAGAGGGTGCAAGCAGCAGGAGAGCCATAGACTTGCTGTGCACTTCCCACCCCCACCACAGGGCAGCAGGGGTTGTGGGTTTTTTTTTCCTGTAGCTCCTGTTTCTCCTCATTCCCTAGGGGAAAACGGCCCGTGGATCCAGGGACATGTGGCCTCACTCATCCCACCTCCTGTGGATGGTCCTATAGCATCTCCATGGAGTACAGCTCAGTGACACGCAGCCAGGAGAAGCTACCCTCTCCAGCAGAGTGTTACAGCTTCGCCGCTGTAAAGCTTCTCCCGTGCAGAGAAGATATGGCAGGATTGTGCTTTTCCTCTCTGTTAGCTCAAGTGTTTTGCAGGGCAGGGGCTTACTTGATGAAGATGAATGCCTGCCTCCTTGATGAAGATGAGTGCCTGCCTCAGAGAGAAAAAAAAAGCTGCTCTGTAAATGAAAAGTTTAAATAACAAAACAGAATGGAAAGTAGGGGCTTTGCAAACGAGATCCAAATTCTGGAAAATAGCCCTGCATAGTCTTTGGCTTGGGACAGACCATAAACCTAAGTACTAGTAAGCCTATTCTAGCTGAATTTTTTGTTTACTGTTCTTGTGAATTTGAACAGACCCTATATCTTTTGTTA